AAAAAAAAAAAAAAAGAAGTACTTGAAGGGGGAGCCTGGGTGACTCATCTTGTTAAGCATCTGACCCTTCATCTCAGGGTCTTGATCTCAGGGTCATGAGTTCAAGCCCCAGGTTGGGCTCCACACTGGGTGTGGAGCAAAAGACGTGTTTAAGGGATAAGTTATAGTATTCAATACTGATATTTGACAGGAAGAAAGACCACTTAGGCCTCCACCTTAAGAAAGTACATAAAGAAAAGCAAGTTAATACCCAAAGTAAAAGAAAGAAAAAATAAAGAGCAGAGTGGCTACAAATAAAATGGAAAATAGAAAAATAATAGAGAAAATCAATGAAACCCAAAGGTGGTTTTTTGAGGATATCAATACAATCGACAAGCTTTCAGTCAGACTAATCAGGAAAAAAAAGAGAGTACTAATATCAGGAATGAGAGAAATGACATCACTATAAAGTCTTCAGATATTAAAAGGAGAAGCTAGTATCAAGAACAACATTATGCTAGTAATTTGACAGCTTAGATAAAATGGACCAAAAAGACAGAAACTACTGTAGCTTAGTCAGGAAGAAATAGCTAAATAGCCCCTATCTTGTACAGAAATGGAATCTGCCCACAAAGAACACTCCAAGCTCAGACAGCTTCCTTAGTAAATTCTATCAACTATTTAAAGAAGAAGTAATACCAATACTACCCAAAATTTTCTCGAAAATTGAGAAAGAATGCCTACTTTCCAATGCTTTTCATGAGGCCATCTTTATCTTTATACATAACCAACCAAAGGCATTACAAGAAAAGGACACTACAGGTTAATAGCCCCTGAGAACATAGATGCAAAATTTCTCAGCAAGATTTTAGTAGATCAGATTGAACAATATATGAAAAAGGAAGATACATAACGAGCAACTGGAGTTTGTCCTGAGTATGCAAAGGTGGTCTAACATTCCAAAACCCATCAATGTAATTCACCATATTAATAGAGTAAAGATATGATCGTCTCAAAAGATGCAGAAAAAGTATTTGAAAAAATTGAACATCCATTCCTGATTAAAAATCTCAACAAGTTAGGGATTAAAACCAATTTCCTCAACCTGATAAGGGTATCTTTGAAAAACTAAAAGCTCATACCCCACTACAAGTTCTTCCCCTAAGACCAGGATCAAGACAATGATGCTTAAATTCTTACCACTTCTTTGAAATATTGTACTGGAGTCCTGGCTACTGTAATAATGCAAGAAAAAGAGAAATTATCCAGATTGGAAAGGAAGAAGTAAAAGTGCTTTCACAGACAACGTAATTTGTCCTTGTAGAAAATCTGGTCAAAACCTACAGAGAAAGCCTCTAGAACTGAAAAATGATTTGGCGAGGTGGCAGGGTACAGGAGAAATGCACAAAACTGAATCATATCTCTAGATACTAGCAACAAACAACTGGAAATTGAAACTCAAATCCATTTTTTAATTGCACCAACAAATAGGAAATCCTTAGCTAATATAGATAATATATAAATATGGCAAATATGATAATAGATAAATATGGCAAAAGGTGTTCAAGATCTATACACTGGAATCTGTAAATCATTTATGGGAGAAATGAAGGAGGCTCTAAATAAATGGAGAGATACACTGTGTTCATGGGCGATTATTCAGCTGTCAACTCCCCCCAGATCAGCCTCTAG